TTCCACTTTTACCAGAGTATTTTTTAACACAAGTATCTGTACTTTTACTCAAGTACGGAAAGTGAGTACTTTTGCCATCTCTGCTGTCAGTCTCCCTCGGACTGGGGCTCCATGTAAGATGAGAAAGGTGATGATAAAGGTGAGAAATCAGCCCAAAACTACACAGGAGGAGTTGATTAATTACCTAAAAAGAGCTGGGACCACCCTTTCCAAGTTTACTATTGGCAATACACTAAGACATCATGGTTTGAAATAATGCATTGCACGTAAGGTTCCCCTGCTTAAACCAGCACATGTCAAGGCTTAAGTTTATCTTAAGTTTGCCAATGACCATTTGGAGGATCCTTGAGAGAAAGGGATGTGGTCAGATGAGACCAAAATAGAACTTTATGGTCATAATTCAACTAATAACCGTGTTTGCAGGAAGAAGAATGAGGAGTCCCATCCCAAGAATACCATCCCTACTGTAAAGTAGGGGGTAGTAGCATCATGGACTGGGGGTGTTTTGGGATGACCGGGGCCCTGTATTGTGAGATTATTGTGAACAACCTCTTTCCCTTATTTCATTGAAGACAGCTCGAGGCTGGGTCTTCCAACATGACAATAACCCAATGCAAACAGCCAGAATAACCAAGAAGTGGCTCTGAAAGAAGCCTAGCCAGTCTCCTGACCTAAACCCAATAGAGCATTTTTTGAGGGAGCTAAAACTCAGTGTTTATCAGCAACAGCCCAGAAACCTGACTGCAGTGTGTGCAAACCTGGTGAAAAACTGCAGGAAACATTTGACCTCTGTAATTGCAAACAAAGGCTACTGTACCAAATGTTAACATTGTATTTTCTTTTTAGATTATGTCTCTCACAGTGGACGTGCACCTACGATGACAATTTCAGACCCTCCATGATTTCTAATTGGGAGAACTTGCAAAACAGCAGGGTGTTCAAATGCTTATTTTCCTCACTGTATGTGGCTTGTGATAAATTTAGATAATATGAGACAAATGTCTAAAGTGGGGTTAAATTGTTTAAAAATGTCACATGTCAAATGTAAAATATTATGGGCTTCTTTTGTGATAGAGCTCTTCTTTTGAAAAACTAATGCTTTTAGCTTTTCAGACTACTTAAAACAATAGAACAATAGTATGATTAAGATTTAACACTATCAACTTTTTTTTCTAAACTTTTTTTTCATTTCAGTGAGCCCCTACTAAATTCCTTTGTCACAACAAAGCCTGGTTGTTTTTGAATTGAAGAGAAAAAGATGGAGACAACGATATAATCCTTCCTTCATAAATTTGCTATCTCATTAGTAAAGTTTGGATTTGGTCTTTTTGAGGAAATGAATATATACAAATTAAGATGTTTATTGAGCAGATAAAAAATATTATGACCAATAATTATGCCCTTACCAGGCAGATCAGTGGTGTAAAGAAGAGCCAACAGAGCTTCCACCAGATACATGGTCGATAACCAATCATGTCCTCAATATTCTTGTAAAACCGTTCAGCTCCTGTCCCAAAAGAGGTAGTTAGCAAAGAAAAAATGGGTTGGTGAAAGTGGGAATGAGAATAGCATGCACCAGATAAAATCTTTTATTGTGAGACAAGACTTCTTATTTGTAAACTATACTGTCAGCATTTTTAAAAATGTAATTATTAACAAAAAACACAGAAATGCAAATGTATCCCTACCATAAAACCAGGATATGGAAACAGTTTCAAAGAAGACAAGGAAGAGAAGACACATCCCACTGGCAGAGTAGTAATCAAACATCTTGAAGACATACAGACCACCCTGAGACATTAAGGAAACACAGTCATAAAGAAGAAAAGCTCCAAATTATCAAGTAGTTTGTGCAAGTTTATTGGAGCCAACTTCATCCAATTCATCCAATTACATGTATGCAATGTATGACTCATTTACACTCACCTTCAGTAAAATTGCCACCACTGGTTAAAAAAAGATGAAGCCTTAAAATCAATTATTACATAGGGTCTTTGAAAACCCAAGATACAGCTATTTCTCTAGTGGAGCTTTAAAGAATTGAAGATTATTGCTCTTAGTTTGCCTGCAAGCAAGTATATATGATGATCCTCATGTTTTAAATATGTGTGTTTCTGTTTTCATAATTTTTTCTGTTAGTTTATTCATTTCAGATTTATTCTTTATTTGATTCTTTTAGATCTCTGATAGACTTTTACCCTTGTTGGGATATTTTCTTTGTTTCATCTTCTGCCTCTCTGTAGCTACAGAGAAAGTGTGTAACTAATTTGTATATCAGACAATCAGGTTTACTATTATAAACACAGGTTGCCATTGCTTAGCGTTCATTGTTCATAAATATGTATATATATATATATATGGCAGTGCACACATTAGATGATGCTTTGTTGCATCGACATCTTTGATTACGACAGCTAAAAGAGGACAAACTTGTAAGGCTTTTGGGTCTTATCTGTATATGCAGATATGTTATTGGTGGAGGAGGATTATAACTGGAGCAAAAGCAACCATAGGTCATGTTGCTTTGCATTTTCAGTTAAAGTATATCCATTCTCTTCCAAAAAAAAAAAAAAGAAGGAAAGGGAGGATTAAGCAGAAGAAAATGAGAGGCTACATCAGTTTCACTTTTACCAGGTGGAGACAATTCATGAGGGATGCGGCTTGAAATTCAATAAAAAAAGTCAAGTTTATTCTCATGTTAAAGGTATAGTGGAGGATGTTCCTTTTCCAGGTGGATCATCAAAACAAATGGTCCTTCTAATTGTCAATCCTTCTGGTGATATGTTTACGTAAGGCCGTCCTATGTGCTCATCCCCATTTTCACTCACCAGTGGTGAGTCTGACCTAGTGGAAAAATTGCAAATCTTCGTTTGGAAAGTAAGCTTGAATGAGCGATGCAGAGACTGAGAAGCATGAGGAGAAATGGGCTCCTGCATGCTCTTGCACGTATTTAATAGGCGTTTCCTCTTGGGAGCGGGTACAGTGTTGTGCATGTAAATTTCTTTTAAAAAGTGGAGAGGGCCGGTTTTTTCAAAAATTTACGAGAATCCTCCTCTATACTTTTAAGTTAGAAACATGGCAGTCCAGCAACAACTACCGTAATGGGCAAGCTCCATCAGTTACTTTTATTCACGGGCTTCACACCTGCAGGCGAGCTACTTCTTTCAGATGGATTTTCTGAAAGAACATGTATTTCATCATTTATTTTTGTTGTTTTTCAAAGGTTATAGGAGTTAAACTCAGTAACACCAGTTCTAGTCGAGATTTATTCACTAGAGCCACAAGCATTTTCATTCTAAAAATATAAAATAAGAAGATAGAGTTATTTATCTTTCTGCACCTCATGAGACAATTGAATCGATGTTGACATTGCCACATTTATGACATTCCTCGACTTCTGTAATGGATATTGCACATTTAATAGTAAAGCAGAAGAGTACGCTGCCACTTTGTAATTCACTTAGCATAGCATGGCATGGGGCTTTAAATTTGTTCCCCTCCGGATCCTCCTTTTATCATGCATTTCTTTTTTACGTTACTCTCTCCCTGTGCTCTGAGTGTGACTCTGTTGTGTTCCTAATCCAATGTTCTCTGTTCCTCCTGTATATTCTACTTCCCTCTTAAAGAAAAACTCAACATTATACTCATCCATTATGTCTGTGCTTTGGTCCTTTGCATAATTACAAAGTTGTGATAGTTAAGCTAACAAACAACTTTCTGAAATATAAATACACGCCTATTTTAGATGAACACCGTGTTGTTTTGTCTCTTTCCTTTTGAACGTTGGTGGCTTTTTACTAAATCATATTCATACAACAGGGAATAGGGAATTCATGGATTACTAGTCAACCTAAAAAAGCCAACTTGTACGAAAATGTTTTATTCATAACTGTTTTTCAAAAAAACTTTTAAAAACGCCAACCTTTATGGCACCGATGATTTTGTAACTTAGGGAATTTGCTCTTTGACTTAGTATACTCAAATAATTATTCTTTAAATCTCTGCTAGAGGTTCTGCTAGAATAAAAAGATTTTTTGGAAATGTTTTATACACCTTTACCAGGGTGACATTATTTTTGAAGGGCACTGCATGCTGTGTGAATTCTTTCCCCTGATGCCATTTTTAAAAATTTAAATCGCACCCACCTGAGTGATATTAGAGAATCCAATGATGAAGGAGATTAAACAAACAATAAGGATGAAGAGCTTCTTCCTCTTCCTCAACACTAGGGGATACTCATCCATTAGAGCTGTGATGAATCCTTCAACGGTGCAGAACTAACAAATTAAGTAATGAAAATGAATGAGTTGAGCATGCATGCCGTAAACCAGAGAAATAAGTTTCATAAAAACCTAATCAGTACTTGGTTTGTTTTCTTCAAAAAGTTGCAAGTAATGTCTTCATGTGTTTTAAAAAAACAGCTAACAAATTTTCATACATACTGTAGTTTTTGCTTTGCTAAGAACTTTGGAAAACAAACACTCTTTTCAATAAACATTACTCCATCCAACTCCCACTTGTTAGTTTACCATATCATCGCTTCATCTGAACCCACAGACTGGCCTTAATCTTAGATAATGTGCTGTAAATTATGGAACTTTAGATTCTCCTTTTTACATGAAAACATTAAAGGAGAATGTCCAGCCACCTTAGGCTGCTGTTGGATAATGCAGCATATGATCTAAAGTAATCCAGCATATCTGCCTCTTGATTGCAAAGTAAACAGGAAAAGCACAGTTTTGGGATGAACTAGTCAAAATTTGAATTTAAATCCAACTAAAATGATCATCTTGAATTGTCTGTTTAATCACGGGAAACCTTCATACTCATTGCTAGTTACTGCAAACTCTTAATATACTGTAATATCTTGCCAAAAGTTGTTTGTTGGATTGCTAATTCTAGAAACCTTTTGTTCCCTCATTTGGATAAATAATAATTTGTCAGTTGCTCTTTTTGCTTATCTGTTTGTGGTATTTAATGCTCTTTGGTCTGAAACAAAGTGTGACAAAAAAACAAGAAATCATTAAGGCGGCAGACATTTAGTCACGACAGAAAACTTTTCGTTCATGTTCTGCTTATTTTGAAATGATTAGAGTTTTAAAGTCATTAATTTGGCTTTGAACATCTTTATTGATACTTTTTTCAATCATATTTTTTTATTCATCATGAGTTCATAGTTCATAAGCATTAATTATACCAAAACTACCAAGTTTAAAAAATATATATATTACTTCACAGAAAAGCTTATCACTACTTTGGGTCACACAACAAAGAAATCCAAATATTGCAAGCTCACCATAAAAAAACAAGATTTTTATTTGCTTACCTGGCTGTCCAAACCGAGCATCATGAGCATTGAAAAGAAGAGGATGGCCCAGAGGGAAGACATGGGAAGCTGGGTGACTGCCTGAGGATAGGCGAGAAATGCCAAACCTGGACCTGTAATGATATTTATATTGTTTGTTACCATGACAGGATTGTTAAAACCTAAAATTATTTACAATAATTTATAAAAATCTGCAGTTATACTAGATCTCTAGGTACCTTTTCCAATCTTTGCTGTAAAAAACGTATGAATGTACCTGATGCTGCTAGTTCCTGCACTGGTTTCTTTGTGATGTAGGACATGAATCCTACAATAGAGAAGATAACAAACCCAGCAAACATGCTAGTACAAGAGTTGATGAAGCATACTATGATGGAGTCCCTGAAGAGATAAATAAAGACAACTGATTAGAGGAAAAACTGGTTATTGGTTGTCAAAGAAGATATTCAAAGCTTAAACCTCATGTGCTCACTTGTACACATCATTGTGGTAAGTGTTGTAGCTTCCAAGTGCGATAAGTGAGCCCAAGCCCAGTCCATATGAAAAGAAGATCTGAGTTGCTGCATCCAACCACACCTGAAATGATGAAGGGGAACATCCACATGTACTCATGAAGTACATTGTTGTGTTTTCTGAGAAAATGTGAGCCTTTGGTTAATAGAAACTGTGTACCTCAGATCTAACGAGCTTATTGAAGTCTGGGGTGATGTAGAACAGAATGCCATCAATGGCTCCGGGAAGGGTGACTCCTCGGAAGAACAGGATGAACAGCATGAAGTACGGATAGGTGGCGGAAAAATAAACCACCTAAGAGAGAAATAGAAAAAGTATCTCATGTCTAAAATAGTTTTTCTTTGCCCAGGGACCTTTTAAATGTAACTTGCAGTTTTGAAGCATAATCATGATGTCTAATTGTTAATGCCCATTGAGATAAGGGCCTTGAGGGATCCATTTTCTAACTGCTATCAGACTCCTCCCATTAAAAGCCAATTATCACAAGTTGTGAAGATGTAAATGTGTTTCTGCTGAGATACCTTGCTTCAACTCTGGGTAATTTAAATTTGCAGACAGCAGACGGGATGTTTTCTTTTTTGTTGTTTTTTTTTTTTTTTTTGCTTGTCTATTTTTTATATTTAAATCCTTAAACCATATGGACCTAGGACTCCAGTAAAACATTCCAGATTCAGTGTGATGTTAGAGAATGTATTGGATATTATAAATGTATGTTTTGTTGACACATTTCAACGTGTTAACCAAGTTGGGTTATCTGTGCTCCATTAAAACGCACAACTGTCTATATCTTGATGATCTTTAATTGTTACTTAAATATTGCTTCTTTTTGTTTTTAGTAAAGGTATCTCTAATTTGATCATATCCCAAATACAGTAATAATAATAAATCTATTCTATTTTGCAGCAGATACTGATGGAGCCATGAAGGGCAAAGATCACAATATGTTTTAGGTCAAAGGGGATTTTTCTGCTTAATCTTCCTACAAACATATTTCTTCCAGTTGCCATCTTATTTTAGGTCCAAAAACACTGTCCTTAACTATAGGCCTTCAGTGCTTAAGGTGTTTTTCATATTCACAATGAAACAATGAACCATTCTTGAAATAATTCTGGTTGGTCCACAAGTAGTGGTAAGATCTTTATCTGTTTCAAGCTTTCTGCCTTCATGAACTGAGTTCCAATGTTTTGTAACTATTTCTGAACAGCTAACATCACCGGCTAGCTTTTAGTCAAGTTCATGTCAGAAATTTTGTATTGATCCAGAAAAATTTTGTATTTTGTCATTGGTTGGTAGGGCCCTTGGTACCCTGCGACCCCTCAGTAGCGATATCTGACTACCTAACAATGTCCCACATATCGCATTAATGTCTACATGTATAAAAACTAATATGTATAAGAAGATAAATAAAACTGATATACTGTTGGAAGATAATGAGACAGTGCTTCTGCTCCAGTGCTCTTGGAGTCGAACACAAGATGCACCCTTAGTGCACTTTTATTTGTGTCTCACTATATTAGTGGATAAACATAAAATAAAAATAAAAAATGAACATGGCCTATCTAGCAGGGAAGGGAATCCGTGGGGTGCCCTTTTTGGGTGCCCAGTATCCATTCTGGCTAATGGAACCTGCCTTTAGGAGTCTTGGCTTGCTGAGATAACATTAAAACGATTATCATTATTATTATTTTTAGTGCTATTACCGCTGTACCATCAGAGAGGATAAAAATAACAGCACTGAATTGATAAAGAATGAAGATTTTTATGAGACAGTCTAACCTTTCCCGTCCACTCTACTCCTTTCCAGATTGAGAAGTAGACAAGAACCCAAGCCAGGGCCAAGGTGCCCACCAAAGGCCAGCGCAGCTCTCCTGGCTCCTCCAGACCATTAGTAAGCTGGTGCATGTTACGTCTGCAGATACACAGTTAAATGCTGAATATAATATTTTTATTATTTACTGTATGTGTGTTGGGTGACACGCAGGCCTGCTTCCTACTGACTTACTCCCAGAACTCTGTGACAGCGCTGGTCAAGTTGGTGGTGTCTGTCAGGCTGTAATTGGAGAAGCAGTTTTCTGTGTTCCAGGGATTATCACAGCTCTGCCATGGCAGCTCCTGAACAAGAAAGTTTAATCAGACTCCATTCAATGAACCATGAATGACAATTGAGTGAAACTCATGTTAGGTCTAAAAGTTGTGGAATTTTCTAGAAACATTTTGTCCTGATTAATTATACCTGTATACATTCATACATTTTTTAATATTAGATAGCACAGTCAAAGGCTGTTCTAAACAAATCCTTTTTTTAGTTTTTATTTCGATTTAAGAGTTTCCGCACTTTTACAGTTTTCTGGGAATTTATTCTAGATTAATGGAATATAAGGACTAAAAGCTGTTTCTCCATGTATGTTTCTGGCCTGCGAGGTCTGGGCAGATGATATACTGACAACAATTCTGTAATTTATTTAGTATTGACAAGAAAAACTGTTTTGCTTTTCCTCTTCACTGAGACCCACTACAGATAAGAGGCCCACAATGTTAAACGGTGATCTTCTTGGAGCAACCTTAGACTGAGGTCCAGCATTACCAAGGAGGTGATGAAAGACTACAGGAGGTTCAGATACACTAAAGTCTGCTTTAAAGGAATGCTGCTGAATTTGTTTTTTTACTTATGCATTTTAACTTAGGTCGGTGTATCATAATTGCATATCTCTATTCTGTCCTCTTGCCTGTTAGCAGAAACCTGTCATGAAGAAAGAAAAAAAAATACAATACATAAAAGAAATATAGCCTGTCTGGTGAGATTGGGTGTAAAGAAACATACCGAACTGAAGGAGTTGAATAAGTAGTAGAGAGCCCAGGCAATTATGATTATGTAGTAGATATTTAGCCAGAATGACAATACAACAGCAGCCAAACCAACACCTAAGGAGAAAGAATAAACCAAAAATTAATTGCATGACAATACAATCACAATCCAGCCGCAGACCCAAAACAGAAAAAGGGGGCACTGTATGAAAAAATAAAGTGTATATATACATGTATACCTTTTGCCACATTTCCAGCTTAAAACATAGATATGAAAGATATAAAATTGTAAAGTTTTATGAAGAATCAATAATAAGAAGGACACAAACGTGAAGTGGAACTAAAATCATTTACTATTTCAAACTTTTGTAACCGCTGAAAAAACTGTAGACTGAGGCCTGATTCACGTGCTCTGTTATAGTCTCAAAGGTCTCTTTAAACCGCAGAGAGCATCATAAAGAACAAGAAAAACACCAGGAAGATCTGAGATAGTGTTGTGGAGAAGTTTAAAGTGGGATTTGGACACAAAAAGTTTTCCCAAGCTTTAAATGTCCCAAGGAGCACTGTCCAGGAGATAATATCAAATGAAAGGAGTATCATACCACGGCAAATCTAAACAGACCCAGCTGTTTCTATAAATTTTCATCTGAAACCAGGAAAGATGCAGCCAAGAGGCCCATGATCAACTGCAGAACAGCTCTGTATGATGAACTGCAGAGATCTACAGCTGAGGTGAGAGACTCTGTCCATAGGACAACAATCAGTCTTATACTGCACAAAACTGGCCTTTATGGCAGAAAGGCATCTCTGAAAGACATCCATAAAAAGTCTAATTTAAAGTTTTCCACAAGCCATCAGGAAGACAATGCAAATGTAGAAGAATGTTTTCTGGTCTGATGAAACCAAAATCAAAAATTTTGGCAATAATGTAAAACCTTATATTTGGCGTAAAAGCCACACAGCTCATCACCCTGAACACACCGTCTCCACTGTCAAACATGGTGGTTTGGGTCTGCTTTTCTCCACAGGGATAGGGACATCATCTCCTCATGTTGATTCAGTCTTACATAACACAGTAAATACAAAGTGTTTGTTTGCATCCACTTATGTTGTCATACCAGTTATCATAGAATGGCTTCAGATTCAGCCTCCTACCTCCCAGTAGGCGCAGTAAGTTGGTATAACTGAATGAATCCTAATTCTAACCCTAAGGTAAACCCTTAGGGTTAGAATTAATTGGCACTCCCATATTAAACACTAAAACCTAATAAATCTCATATCTTGTCAACTGAGCTGTAGAATCCTGTCCCTATAGATATTTAATCCTCTGAGAATTAAAGCAGATCATTCTTTAATAATATCCTTTTGAAAAGAACATGCAACATTTGTTTTAAAATGTAATGGGTCAGACCTAACGGACCTAGTGCATTATTTTCTTTTTTTTACTGTATACACAAAATTACCACAAAAACTCCTGAATAAATCAGGAAATTATACTATGTGATTGGCTCTAAGGAGAGCGTAGACAAACACTTATTGAACAAAACTGGCTTCCGACCAGGTTAGCTCTAGGATTAATGTTGCTACGGCAACAGAAGCAGAGGTTGAAGAAACTCTCTTTGTGAAATGAAAAACTCAGAGTTTACCTTATTTCCGGTTTAGAAAACTTAGTTTTCAGTAAACTTGCTTTGTCAAACAGATCCATACCTAGTTTAACTGATTAAAAATATTTCATTACATATTTTAAAATGTATGGATTACCTTTCATCATAGGAATAAGTCTCCACACCCCTAGCCCACCTACTGAGGTGAACTGTCCCAGCGATGTCTCTAGGAAGAAGAGCGGTATCCCAGCAAACACCAGGGTCATAAAGTATGGAATTAGGAAGGCACCTGAAGAACAAGCAAAACAGATACTAATATACAACCTATTAGTAATATTTACAGCAATAAAGAAACTGTCTTTTTTATATATGACAGTTCAAAAGCCAGAGAAATTAAAAATTGCTTTGGTAGGCATAACAGATTAGGTTTGACATGCTTATTGAGCCTTGCATTGTTCATTTTTACACTTATTTATAGTTTTGATTTAATTACTACAGTAGATTATTCACGAGGCACATTTCCAATTCAATTTGCTGCTGGTACATTGTAAACTTATAGTAAGAAGAAAACGCATTTTTAAGCACCTAATCTCAATGAAATGTAAGTTAACAGAGAAATGACAATCAGATTTTCTTCAGATCGGTAGAAATGAGTCGCTGTAGTTTGATGGGAAATGTTTTTACTGTGGTTTGGAATGAAGTATTTCACAATCATTACTTCAAAATTTCAATTCTCAAGCCTTTCTGTCAAAGGAACTTGTCTTAAAGTTACAGGCAAAAGTCTTTTTTTATATAGAAATTTGGATCTGTGGTCTCATTCCTGCAGTTTAAACATACCTCCACCATTTTTGCCACACAAATAAGGAAACCTCCAGACATTTCCCAATCCAATGGCATATCCAACACATGACAGCAGGAAGTCAAACTTCCCCTTCCAGCCTCCCCTGTCAGGTGGAACCTCCTTTTCCTTCTTCTGTTCTGTAGGGGGGCCTGTGGAGTCCAGGTCCTCAGAAGGGACAGCTTGTTTGACCTCTGATGGGGAGCTTAAGTCCACTGTACTCTGCCCAGTCTTCCCCATTGTGGGACCGCCCTGGTCCAGAAAAGCCTGTTGTCCTGACAACCAGAAATCAGGCTACTTGGTGTCGTTGGACTGAGGATGTTACTCTTGGTCCGGATCTGGACTGGATCTCAAAATGATGTGCTAACGTAAGATGTGCTGGAAATATAGGTAAGAAGATGTAGCATCAGATGTAGTATACATTGTTTTATAGTTTCATTTTTGGATAATCTTACATTTATAAGAACTGCATTTAATTGAGACAACTTGAGAAGTCTTTCAAAATTTTCAATGTAATGAAATGCTGGAATTCTCTACAAATTTATCTCATAACTAAATGGAACGTTGAACGAAAAAATGTTTAAGGGTTTTTTTTAGCAAAAGCTTTTATGGGTCTTTTCTAAATAGTTTTGCATTTCTGAAAACTGAATTTTCACCATACTTCTTTTTATAAATTGCCCCAAAATTTGTTAGATTGCACAGAAAATGTGGAACTCAGTTTGCAAGTCTTTCCACATCTTAATCTGTGAGTTATTGTCCTCCAGGAAGGTGAACCGATTATGACGTCTTAGGTAGTTTGTAGCCTCTTTCGAGATCGACTAGTACTAGATCCATCCAGCGAGCATAATCTCTGATCTTTTCTATTCCTTTTTGAGAACAGTATCCCCACTATAAGTACTGTAATGTTTCACTGTAAGGATGGTCTAGTCAGGATTATAAGCCAAGTTATCTCCTCACAGGTCAAAAAGTAAGATTGTTCTACTTTGTAAATCCTTTTTATATGATAACCTCTTAACATCCACCTCATTTTGGGAAATCACCTATTTTGCATACCCCTAATGGAAAATCAAATAACTTAGGAACTGTAAGCACAAATTACATGTGTGATGCATTATTTGAAAGCAACCTTCCAGTTTCTGAATATATAAATGGAAATTGGGTGAGTAAAACACAGCCCAAGCTGCATCAGTTACAACTTGACTCAAAGTTTTTTTTTTTTTAATCCTCGAAAATAATAGGTCTTTTTTGTACAGCAGTAATAAAGACTTGCTTGCTTGTGTGGCTGCTGTGTCATGTTTACATTTTGACATGCTGCTATATCTGTGCTAATTGTTCTTTGGTGCTTGCTATGTCCATAAAATTAACTTGGTGGTTAAATTGTGGAGATTCTAAGTTTTCCAACAATGTCTAACACATCTATATTGGTAAACATTTTACCGGTGTAATTTTCATGCATTCTGAGTCATTAAATGTAAATGCTTTAACTGTTTTCCAGAGATGGCATGTGAACAATTTAAAAGTGGATTCTATAGACCTTCCAAGACCACATTTGTGAAGTTAATAACCAGAAGTGGTGCAAGACAAAGAATTTTTCCACCTGAGCAAAGGATGTTTGCAGCTCTCCCAGAATTACTAGACAAACCTGGCAGCTAAAAAGAAACTCTAACCCTTAAAAAGTAAACGCCAATATCAAAGCATAAATGACCACAGAAAAAAATTGGTACATGCCACCAAAGTGAAAGAGGAATGGTCAAGTTTTTGAGCATGAGTGAAAGGGGTTTAAGTCAGGATAATAATAAAATACAGTACATTTGATTTGATTAAATAGTTTAAGCACTTAAAAAAAGGCTTTGTTAACTAATAGGTTAGAAAAACACTTAAAAACTTTTAAAAGAATCAAATACTATAGGTTCTTGCACATATATAGAGTATATCTATATCTATATTAGGTCTTTATTGGGCTGCATCCCAAATAACAGCATTATAAAAAAAACTGCTGAAAAGTTCAAGTTATGCTAAAAGTAGCAAATAGCTTAATGAAAGCCATCCTTCCCCACACATTACTATAGATCTTTATCTTATCTAATTACCATATCCTCTTCTTTTTTAGTTGCTTCTATTATTGTTTTATTACAAAAACCAGGATCCATATTTTTAAAATCCCCAGCACATCCTATTAGTTTAGTAAAAAAAATCTTTATTTCTTTTTTAATAATGCATTCTTACTCATTTTTACTGTTTTTTTCTTGATTTTCTGAAATATAATCCCACATTTCACAATCAGCAGCCCGATACTTGGAATAACTGCTCCTCATGTTTGCAAATATTGACTGACCTTGCTCATAAACTCATGATGTTAACTATGGATCATTCTCTGAATTGTAATTCTGTACTAAACTATAACTAAAATATTTCAACCATATAGTTACAAAAACTCTACAAAAAGACAGATAAAGTTCATAACATAATTAGATTAAACTCTGCTCTTGTTACCTCAGATAGGATCACTTATTTCGATTCACTACTTTCCAGAATGATCCATCACATACATCTAAAAGTGAATTAGCAAGAGGTGGGGGGCACGCTGGACAAGTACATGCACAAGGAAATAATCAAAACTATGCAGAGTGTTCATTGGTGCTGTATGCAGTCTGCAAAAATGTTAAAAGTGGGAAACAAAAAATGGTAGTAAGCTTCTGAATTTACAGATGCTTACAATCAATATCAATTGATTATTTTCAGTGTTCAGTGCATGCGAAAAATAATTTTAACTAAATTTTAAATATGTGAATTTACCATTTATTTAAAAAAATATACTGATTTTGAAAAGGCTGAATAGCTGGCATACTATTAGAAACTTCCACAGATATTTTCTTAGTATTACAAGCCTTCAGAAAACAGTAATGTATATTTGGAACAATAAATGTATGCAAAAATAAAAGATAAAAATAAATGTCACTATTTGGAAAAACTGCTATTTTGTCATGCAAAAGGGGAATCATCTCCAGTTGGGCATTCTAAAAATGTATAATTAGATGATTACTTTCTATTGGGGTTAAAAAAAATTTACTTACTACTTACTACCTTTAATCACCTTTAAAGTCAGATGTTTGTAAGGGTATTAATGTACAAAAGTTTTTCCCAATAGATAAATTTGTGAACTCACCTTGGCAAAAAAACTTGTAAATATGAGCATGCAGAGGGTAGCATAGAGGTATATCCTACCGCTTAGTTCCCAGCTCCTTAGTCAAGTCTTACGTTTTAGTACTTCACACCAGATCCTGCATTATCACTAATCATCAATTCAAAAATCCAAAGGAAAACTTAAAAACATTCCCATCAATCCGAAAGGCCTTGATAATTTAACAACATATCTGGCAGCCTGTTTTAAATTTTGAAACTCTCTCATGTGTGCAGTCATTTGGAGGTGGCAGATCGTGCGGCTTGTATCGAACATTTAGCACAGTTCGACCCATCCACTTTGATTACAGCTCCGGTCTGACTGGTGAAGCCCTGTGGCCTGAGGGGTGCGGGGCGGGGGGGAATACTGTACGTCAATTGGTCAACTCTGGTGGGGAACTCTTGCAGCCATGGTGCAAACTGAGTTTCTGCATTGTACAATAGTGTTTGCTGCAGTCAGCTCTTGCCAGTAATGTTACCATGGTGTCTTTTTTGCACAGAAGGATCTGATGGATGAAAGACCTCATGGAGTTTGGAAAAATGAAACTAACAGTGGGAGCTGGCAGAGGCAGTGGATATGTATGAGCTCAAATGAGGTCATGGTATCAGACTATGGTAAATATGACTTGAATGGCCAGACACAACAAATATATACAAGTTTATTGACAATAAAAATGTAATCTGAATTTTTCAAGATTTAGCATTGTTTTGGCATTTGGAAAAAAAATATAGTAATATTAATTAAGTCACTGTGGCCCCAGTTTTAATAAAAAACTTGCTTTAATAAAAAAGCTACATTTCTGTCAGCACTTATTACAATACATAACACCAACATGCATTTATTGAAAATCACAGAAAAATTGAATTACTGTTGCAAAATAATGTTCCTTGAAAAAGAAAGCATCCATAAATGTTAAATCACTGTAATATTACAAAACCTTCGTTTATTTTATTAACATGTGTGAAAGATGAACAAAATACAGTGTATATTTTTAAAAGTTGTGCATTTTATAAACTGGAGGGGAAAGTTGCTGGAAGATCCCAGTTGGATTGCCGTATTTTGTAGCATCAACTCTCCTTGAGTTTTATACTATAACCAGGTGATTTGGTGTAAAGGGGAATGTACAGTTTAATTTTTCCACCACACATATAGGCCAAAAAGTTTATCTTTGGTCTTCTCTCATCAGAGCACCTTCCTCACCATGTTTGCTGATTTCCCATCATTTAGCAAACTCTTTCAAGACATCTGATGCTTTTGAAACATTATTGAGACTCAGCTGTAAATCTCTGCAGCTTCCACAGATTTACCACAGCAAATGCAATAGGTTATTTGCAGAGTACATTTGTACTCAGCAAATAGCACAACTACAGTTTTCACTTCAATTTAGGGGTGATGCGCTTGTTTGGTTCAAGATGGGGGTGTTGGTGAGAGTGATCAATAAATGCACAGGGCACAGCAAAGCCATAGGCCTGTTAGCTCCTTTAGGTGGATTGCGGTGTCTTGGTTAGTTTGCCGATGTGCCATTCACGAAGCCTAGGCAAAAGTTCAATAAACTGAATCACTTACCCCATCGAATCAGAGGATTGTCCATCGAAAAAGCAACCAAATCAAACCACACCTCCACAAAGTCCAATCAGCTATTATTGCTTCCCCCTGGTCACGGAAGCTTCCCAAATTGCCAAATCATCTCTTCCTGCAACCTCATAGACAGATGTCCTCCCCCTCCTCATCCCCCCTCCACCCCATCATTCAGGCTCGCTAACTTCCACCCTGAGTGAACTTTAGTAAGATGTACCCTGTCATGTCTTTTTTAATAAATGTTTATACTGTCATAATCTTGGCGCTGCCCAGTTTCTCATTACTGCCCATCTAATGCACCTGCTCCTGCATCTATTTAAGCTGCTTTGTCCCAGCCATCAGTGTAAGATTATTGTTGAGCCTTTGGTGTGAGAGTTTTCTAGGATAACTAAATGTGTTCTGGTTGCATGATCCTGACCTATTTTTCTTTTGGACGTTTGAGCCTGCCTGTCCCCTTTCTGATCTCTTTGCCTGACCTGTC